AGCAGGTAGAGCACAGTGTCTGGTGTCTTTTTTTATAGGATTATAAGACGTTATCGATGACAGCAGAAAAGAGAAGGTATGAAGTGAGTTACCAAGAGATTTGATTGAAATGTCACTTTATTCTGCCTTTTTTTTTTTTTTTTTTTACAAAAAAATATACTGTTTGGATCTTTCCATCATTTCAGAGATCAATTTTTCATCACACAGGACTGCTCTGAGGTGTTTCTAATTACAAACACCAGACTACAGGGGTGGAGTTTGAAGTGTGGATACCTGTTAGACCAATCACACTGTTCCTCATATGTCCAGACCCTGCCCCTCTTTCCCCCTCACTGCCCAGTTTAGCAGCTCTATTTGAAACGTGTTTAGCCTCAAACCAACAATACAAAAGACGGAAATTTAGGTTGTTTTCACACTGCTACTAGTCAGTTTGAGGTAAAAGAGCATTCACTCAGAGAGAGGTGCACTTGGGCACATTCAGTCACATTCTGATTCACATTAAAAGCTCTGAGAGCGCTTCAAACATGAGGTCTCAGAGCAGCTCCTCTCCCACTCTGGAGCGGGGTGAGTGTGGTGTGAATGCAGCCGACCTTGAGCCGACCTGCACAGTCTGGGATGACAGTACTAGAGCTGAAAACCAGATCTGTAGATTCGTCTGGCAGTTTGGATCATTTTCAGTGAGACACATGTCCTCCTGGGTCTGTCTGCACAGGTCAGCCTGGGTCTGTCTGCACAAGGTGAGTATGGGTCTGTCTGCACAAGGTGAGTATGGGTCTGTCTGTGCAGGTGAGCCTGGGTTTGTCTGTGTGTCACTCAAAAAGCTTTTTCTGCCTTCAACAGCTCGTTCAACCTTAATATTATTTCGCCTCAGGTCACCACGTGCAGCACCAGTGAGCATGTGCGTATTCATGGGGCTCTGTCCGCTTGAAGTCTGTTGTTGTATCCAAAAGTAAACAGAACAAAATCTAGTGCCACTGGGGTCAGTCCAGGGAGAGTAATAACATGTGTGAATATGACCTTGAAGTAAAGAAATAGAGCTGTGCAATTAGTTTAGACAAAAAAAGAGATTGTATCTATTCAAAGAGGTTAAAAAGTTCATATGACCTCTCTCATTTCTCAGTGCATTCCTTCTGTTAGCAGAGGGTGTTCTCATAAACAGTGTGCATATGTATTTGGCACATGTCCAGTGCAGTAGATTGAAGGCCGTGTTGGTGTGCATGTCACATACTGGTATCAGTGTTGGAGACCGGGTCGGCTCTGAGTGGAGTGGTATCAGTAGCAGAGAGGCCTCAGAGGAGATGGGCTGAGTAATAGGCTTTCCTGTTCCTTTTTGAAGTAGTGGGTTCATGTCTGGTTCAGAGCCCGCACAGCATTAAATCCCCTCTCCGCCTCTGTCAGCGCTCAGAGCCGCAGGACACCAGGAGAGCTGTTCCTCAAAAGCCCACAGACCCTTTCACTGTAAACAATGTGCTTCTGTTTCAAAAGATATTTGGATAAATATATTATTCATAATATAATCTAGAGTTCTAAAATATTTTATATCTATTTAGGCAAGTAGTTTATGTCTATACAATATAGGCTATAAAGCACTGGAAGTGTTTAATAAGTTTCAATCTTGGATAGAATTATATAGTATATTGCATCGTGTCCAGGAGAGATCACTAGACATGCATGGATGACATACAGTATTACACCACTTCAGGCATGTTTATGATGAGGGACCAACATTATAACATGATAGAAAGCTCCAAAAAGTTGATGTTGCATAATATTCTCTCTTTAAATTCAACAGCAAATACAGGGTTATTTAGCAATAGCTCAAAATTCACCTATCGACCCAACGTGTAGTTATTTGAGCAAGGACACAACTTTGCCTAAATGTAGATGTGATGTGTTAATGATTTGTGGTGGTGATTTGAAGACGACCTGTCCATGTGGATTGGCAGCCACACCATTGTCATAAGAAAAGTATTACCACTGTTCAGTATGGTGAGTGAATGATGACATTTTAGAATTATTACCAATTGTCTTGCAAAATGATTAGGAAAAAAACTTCTTTTGTCACCAAAATTAAGTGTCAAAACATCTTTGAAACTGGCACGTAATAGTCAGAACTAGTCTGAATAGATTATAATTATATACTAGCTCAAATCATGCTTGTTAAATTGGCTGCTTTGTTTGAAATGTGAACAGAAGCACTGAGGGCACAGACAGTGTGAGGTGTTACAGTCTCATTATGCTAAATGTGATGAATCCCTGAGTTCACAGGAGCTATTTTAGATAAAACACGTCATGTTTACAGCTCTGATCAGTGACCTGGGAGAGTTTAAAGGGTAAAACATGCAAAAGTCTATAATGATACTTTTCAATGACTTCATGCGGTATTATATTATCCTATACAGTATATGTCTATAGAGGAACATTCAACAGTTACTGTAGTGACCATGGTTCTATTAAAATAACTGGATGAGGTATTGCTATCTTAAAGCTGTCTCAAGTTGGATTCATGGCCACTCATTGGTACTACAGCGACAAAATCGCTCTTGCCCAGAAAGAATTTTTCCAATAGAGTGCAGTGTAATCACAAACTGCTTGTGTTCGGCTGACCGGGCACCTACAGCTGTCAAGGTTGGATTTTGTGGAGATTGAGCCACATTGAGCTCAGGATATTGACTTGAATGGGCGGCCATGTTTAGGCCCCGGGGCTTGGTGGTGACACAATGCACACATTAGCAAATACGACTCAGATTTAAACAACACATTTTCAGTGGCCTGTGATCAATATGCACATCCATGCTTTTGTTTATGTGTTTGATTTTCAGCAAAAATGGTGAGAGTAACTGAAGCACAGTTGGCTAATTCTAGCTAGGTTGTGACTTTTATGTTATTTGAGATGGATGTGTTAAGAGCACAAATCGTCTCACCTGTTGTAGTTCACACAAAGTCAGTTAAAACAAAGCCCAGATTAAAGTCTAACTTGAGTGACAGTTTCAGACAGAGCAGTGCCTCCAGTTAACCCGTCCTCCCCCATGTTACCGGTTGTACTTGTTTATGTTTTTCAGTCCTTTGTAAAGAGACCTTGACCTTGAGAGTCTAATTATTTTGTTACCAGCTGTTTTTATGAACTGCCAATTTCTAGTAATGAAATGTCAAGGAAATCACTGACTCATAACATGCTATTTGGGTTTGAGTAAAATTGTGACAACATACGAGAGGAAAAACTAGAAATATGTGCACCTAGAATGCAATACATTATAAAAAAAGGGTCTTACATATGTCTAATGCAAGTTTTAGTTAAATGTTCCCAGCAGGGTACTAACGGGAGACACAGCTCCTCTGTGTGAGCCTGGGGACACACTCAAGCTCAGGGAAGAAACATCATGTAACCGACCTTCTGAAGGTTACTCAAGGCAAACATATAAGTGAGTCACATGTCCATAAGAATGTAAATGTTACAAAAGAAATTGTTCACAAAGAGTTGTATTATTCATTCACTCCTCATGCTCAAGGACACAAAAAACAACAGTCCTCAGTGGGGAATGAAGCACCAACCTTTATGTGAGCAGGCATATATTTCTACCTTGTGAACTTATTTAACTCATTTTCATAATTATATTGTTAAATTGAAGCCTTGGATTTATCCAGCACCTTTCAAGATGAACTCAAAGCACTTACATTGCATTATTCATTCACTCGTCTTCCTTGGTGTAGATAAGGCTAGGTGGGTGAAGTAACCAGTGAATCACTGCCTCTGCCACCACATAGTCTCACTTCTATTTCTGAATCATAATGGTATTGTCTTGTTCAGTGAATTATATCAGAGTTGAAAAAAGGATAAGCTCAATATACTTCCTTTCAAATATTATTATTTTTTTTTTAAGAAAGGCACTGTGCCTGATTTTTACTGTCTTAAAAATGTGAAAAAGCACTTGTGCATTTCAAAGGTTTGCAACGCTCCAAACTAATTCTTCACTTCCCTTATGCATTCAGAGCATTCTAATTATCCACTGCAGTGAGTTTATGAGAGCTTTTCACAACTTTCAGATATCAGCGTGGAATTTTGCCATCACAGTAAAGCTAACAACAACTAGCATGCTAACAAGCTCATTCTGAGTATCAGGCAATAGAATGCTTTCAAGACAGCACGCAGTGCACTTATTTTGACATCAAGACCTGCTTATTTCCATACTTACACAATAAAAGTATGGAAGCATGGAATTAGAAAAGGATGGAATTTTTCAATCTCCATAGAAATAAGCAAGAGATGCAACCAGGCCAATTTACAGGGGACCTCACTCACAGTAAGAACGCATGTTTTAAAAGTATTTTTGAGAAACATCAATAACTAAATATATGCACCTTGTATAACTTTAATACCATATTGTGGAACATTACAGGCAAAGCAATAGCATCTCCATGGAAGTGGACTCCCAACCTGAAAAGTTATGTTGTGCAACTGTGCTGTGCTTTTTATTTGATACATAGAAAAAAATAAAATAAAATAAAGACTTCAATCAAACCCCTTAGTCTTACTTCTTCCATGTGTTGGGTTCTTTTCTTTTTTTAATTTTTTAACAGTCAGAAAATAGTACTGTAATTCCCAGTAACAGTCAGCGATCACTATTGGCCCTGATTTTGCTGATTTTAATTATACATTCTCAACTACAACAGCATAACAAGAGCAGCTGACACTAGATGCTTTTGCAGAGTCCAGCTATGGCTCTGGCTCTGTGTCCTCCGATAACACTCTATGATATGCTGATTCGCTGGCCCAGAGGAGAGATAAGGACACCCTGCCTTTGTTCCTGTTTCCAGTCAGGTGCAGGTTTTTCAGATCCTCCATGCTGAGATTTTAAACATGTAAATTTGTGACTGCTGTTCTGATCTGCTGGAGAGCACTTTCTGCCGGCTGTTGATTATAACACGCAGAGACTGACAGACTCGCTGAGACACATTGTGTTCAGGGGGTTTAAGATTTAAGGACGGGGGGGAGCTCTTACCTCTCCTGCCATGAACTGCCCAAAACCGGGAGGGAAAGTCAGGGAGGCGATGACCAGAGTGACCACGGCCGGGAACAGCAGACGACTGACAGAAACAAGAATACAAAAATACACTCGCTATTTGTGCTTTTGGTTATGATACAATTTCTGTATAATACTCTATGATTGGACCAAAACCACACTCGCAGAACAATAACTACACAGGTGTTCATGAAAAACAACTATTACAGTGTGTACAAGTACTGAAACTGTGTATTTATATGAAAAAATACTGATTAAAGGCACATTGTGTAATTTTTTTGGTGGAGGGTGTTGTTTTGTAACATTGTTTTTCTCCATGGAGATCTTATTGGATGGTCCCTCAAATATTTTTCTCCACGGAGATGTATGTACAGTATGGTATTAAACCTTTCTATCTTCACAGAGACCAAACCAGACCAAGTTACAAGTCAGATCTGTGGAGAGGCAACCTCGCTCACAGTCAGAATGCCTGTTTTTCTGGGTATTTTTGAGTTATAAAACCATCTGTACTTGAATAAATGTAAGGTAGAGCTGTTTAATGTCATACTGTGGAACGTTCCAGGCAGAGCAACGACATCTCCACAGAAATAAGCAGGTGACTTAACCCCACCAAAAAGTTACATAGTGCACCTTTAAACTTACAACTTTCTACTAAAAAGCATACATTGCAGTTGTTGCCATTGCCCCATATACAGTAAATCCTTAAAATCTAAATGACTTAAGTAACGTATTTTTCGGACTATAAGTCGCACTTTTTTTCATGGTTTGGGTGTTTCCTGCAACTTATACTCCAGTGCGACTTACATATTAAAATGTTCACACTGACAGCCATGAGAGGGCGCTCTAGGCTTGTGTACCTTGTGTATCTAGGCTTGTGTTTTCTGTGTAAGTAGTGAAATATGCAGCTGAAAACAGTAATCGAGCAACAGAAAGAAAGTTTGGAGTGAGAGAGACACTTGTGAGGGACTAGTAGAAAGCGGGAATGGAGAACACAGCTTCACGGCAACCGGGCAGGTGTCCTGGAAGTCACTGGATGACAAAGCGTGGACTCCTGTGTCAACTGAAGTTGCTCGGAGTAGCTCAGTGACACCAATGATGAAGAATTCAATGGATTTAGTGATTTGGAGTGAGATCGAGAGTAGGGATGGGCATTAGATGAAATTTTCTTAATCGATCGTCGGAAGAATTAACGATCGATTATCGATTAATCATTAACGTGTTTATATTAAAATGATCATCATTATTATTGCTATCTGCACTACTAATCTGCATACATAAATTCAACTTTACGACATATAAACCGTAACGACTCTAGAGCCACATCAATCCGTTTGAGATTATAATGTGTTTAACGCAGTTTTGCGCAACTCTCACAAAAACGAAACTTAAAACCGCATCGCTAATTTGCAGAAACTAAGCGAAGATAAAACTACAGCTCTTGTGTCGCTGATGCGGTCAACTTCTGTTGGATTAAAAGACACGACTCAGTGGAATACAGGTTAGTGTGACCGTATTTGCATTTGTCAAAACCAGGACACCGTACGGGGGGAGGGAGGTGGGGACTCGTCATTGACATTGCGCGACTCTCACCTGGCAAAACTTTTTCCCACTGGACACCGAAACATATGTGCTGCTTTGTACACTGTGCACATGGACTCACACTTGTCCCGAACGCAACGGAAAGCGTGGAATTTCTTGTACAAGTCATCGTTAAATACGCATTTGCATTGCAGACTGACCGACTGTTTGTGTTTGCTCGCTCCTTCTGAGTGCAGAGAGCTACATGTACGGACCCCTGTTTGGTCACGCTACGCACAGCAACCTACATTCGGTTTGTCGATTAAAATGAACGTAATCAATGAAATTCTTAATGATCAATTATTGATTAATCGATTAATCATGCCCATCCCTAATCGAGAGTCTGGTAGAATTATGTTCTGTTGTTTATGCTCTAGTTATCTGAATAATTGTTAATATGTTACGTTAACATATTAACGCCTATTCAGCCTGTTGTTCTTTATTCCATTGTTATTACTATAACTTGCCTTTCAAGGTAAAATGTCGGTTCCTGGTCCCTGATTTTATAAAATAAATTTCCCCCAAAAAGTGCGACTTATAGTCCGGTGTGACTTATATATGTTTTATTCTTCTTCATTGCACATTTTTTGGCTGGTGCGACTTATACTCTGGAGCGACTTATAGTCCGAAAAATACGGTACTACAGTCCTACAGTAAACACAGTTACAATATGTCGTTATGTACGTCATTCAAATGCCATCATAATGTAGCGTAAGATCGGGGCAAGAGAAAAACTATTGTTAACTGACGACCGATTTTATGGTGTAGTTGGATAAATGTAATCGCCGTTTGCCAATAAAAAGGATTAGCTTCAACAATAGCGGATATTCCACTGGGGCGTTTATTATGAAAACATCATATCAGGCATAGTGGAATTAGGGAAGGGCATTATGGCAAAAAATGTCACAGTACATACTCTCATATTGATCAGTCTTGTTTTTCAATTAGATTATTCTCCAAAAATCTATCAAAAATCTCCAAAGAACAGGCTTTTACGTACGGCTTTTACAGAATGGGCTTTAGACATGTTGATTAAAAAACATCAAGCCAATAACTGCGATGTCCACATGATAAAAGCTTGATTAAAATATGATTAATTGCCCTGTCCTAAAGGGAATACAGATTACAGGAATACTGGATATTGGATACTGCCTCCATCTGAAACACGGGCATCCTCACATACTACAATCTGAATACAGACAACTGCAGTGTACCTTTTGCTTTAATATTGCAAAAAATATAAATATATATATGTGTGTCCTTTAGCCTTGTGAAATTGTAAGATTTTTGAGGGGGTCATTCAAGGTCATATCATAGAATGTTGTGGCATTAGCTGTGTTTTCATACAGTAGAGCAGGTGTATCTCAGAGACTTACTGTTTGGTCAGGAAGCGTGTCATTACATTTTGTCGTCTCATGAACAGCACAACTTGTCTGTTTAGATACACAAAGAAAGCCCCCAGGAATCCACAAAAGATCCTACATAGAAATAAAAGGTTTTAATATTTCAGAAAGGTAAGGAAAGAGTTAACTTCAAAAAGCACAAAACAGCAGAAGCAGCTGATTAATGCTTTCAGTGGGGAATGTTTTGAAATGAACCCCACGAAACCATGACTCATATTATAAATTAGCCCAGTATTAGGTCAGCTCAAGTCTCCCTCAGGGTGCACTCTCAAGTAACAAATTGGATTTTCCAGATTTGAAATGCTACATTTGCATAAAACCAGGCTTTTTAAAGAAGACCAAGTCATTATTTTAAAATGTCTGAATGTAGATGTGAAAGGAGAGATTGAACTTTTTACCCAATTATGGCAAACGCAGGCAGCTCCTGGAGGTCGAAAGGGAAATCCATCCGAAACTTTGTCCTGAACAGAGCAGTAATGGTCACTGTAAGAAAACGATAGATTATAAATAACTTAAAATAAAAGAAATACTTTCAAGAGCAGGTAAAAAGGCAGGCATGTTTGTTGTGGTAAGGGCACCATCTAGTGAAGAGCCTCTGTAAATGCATTAAATACCTTTCAAATCAGGGCTGTAAACATGGTTGTGTTTAAGGTTCACTATGCAACTTTTCTGGAAGGGGATCCACAACCTGCTTGGCTCCATGGAGATTATGGCTTTGTCTCAGTCTTAACTTATATACCTTGCACTTATTCAGTTATAACTGTTTATATTGCTACAAACTTATCTGTGAAACATGTCATCTATGAATGCCTCTCCACAGATCTGACCTATAACCTCTAACCTGGTGGTGTCACTTGATTGTCTTCATAGAGACAGATCAGTTTAATGCCATATTTACCTGCATCCTTATTGAAGACTGATAAGACTCTAAAGATGAATGCACTGAAAGTAGCAGCGAAGTATCCTCTCCAGTAGTTTCTGACAGCAAAGTACGTGGATGTCACCTCAATACTGAAAAGCACCCCTGGAGAAGATAAACAACTTTTACATTTACATTCCATCCAGACCACTCAATCAAGAGTGTTTATACCTCCGAGGGGCGTCCCAAAGCAGCAGCCCACTCCCACAGCACAGCCCACAGTCAGGATGTCTGTGTAACAGTACGGGTTCTACTGACCCACAGAAGAGAAGGATGCTAGTGTTTGGACATTATGCATCACACTATAGTTATATACTTGCAAGGTGCAAGTTGGTGCTATTTTTGTTTCACATACTTGTTTCATTACCTGAATCTATGCGACTGTAACAAAATAAGTTGGTGACTTCTATCAACCTAAAATTACCTGGTAAACTCCTGAGAAGAACGACATGAAGCGACTTAGTACGGCTGCACAAATGCTGGCGATGTGCACGAATGGGCCCTGAAGAAAAGAAAAACACAATGTACATGTGCACTAAAGGAGCACTATATTAGTTATCTGGTTGAGGGTCTGCCACCTGCTTGTCTTTATAGCTTTGAGCAGAATGAATTACAAAAAAGCATAAACGTTTCATCACACACTGCAGAACATCTCCATGGATATAAGCACTCTCAAAAAGAAAAGTTGCATCTTTATCTAATCTATCTATCTTTTATCGCAAACTGAATATGTTTTAAGGCGACTCACCTCTTTCCCCACAGGCATCCCACTGCCCAGAGCCATGGTCAGGCCGATAACTTTAGCCACAAAAGCCTTTAGTGTCAGATACTCTTTAAGCACAACTCCTCTGAGGATGGTCTTCAGCTCTGGAATACCGGACCCTAAGAAGAGAAAAATAAATATAAGATGCAAGAGAATATGGTATCATTTATAGACTGAGATAAACTTGGTCAAAGCTTCATGAACTACACACCGATGGCTTGAGGAGAGACGAGGTGACAGAAGAGAGAGGAGAACAGGATGAAGAGGAGAGGATACGAGACCCAGGCCACATACTGCAGAAGGATGTTTCCTTTGAGCTCTCCATAGATCCATTTATAGGCTGAGGGACAGAGAGGAGACCAGACAGACAGGGAAATGTAAGAATCAATAAAAAGACAATAGACAGATAATCAGAAAGTTAAGAAATTTGTGTAATTAATGTTTTTTGAGTACATGTACCATAATAGTTGTTTTCAGATTCTCAGTGTTGAAGTATCAATATTACTGTGCCAACTGAATAAACAAAAGGAAAGTCTGAAAATGCTGAACTGACCATTTATATTAGTGACCCGACCCACTATCTAATCAAAACAAGGGTGCAAGTTAAAAGTGGGCTTTTCTCAACAAGTAAAAATTATACAATATTGATACTTTAGAGCTGATGAAACTAATTGAAAGTTCTACTCTGTTAGAAGCTCTCTTCCTCAAGTTAGACTTCAATCTGAGCTTTATTTTTACACAATCTGGCTAGAAAGACCTGTGAGCTGATCTGTGCACTTAAACAGCAGTTTTTCAGTTAGTCACTCTCACCTTTTTGTTGAAAATCATCTAAGAGCTTACACAATCACCTAAACACCTAAACAGGATCACAAACGCTCGTATTGATCACAGCCTCCTGAAAATATATTGTTTAAGTCCATTTTATATTTTTTCTTGAGTTTGAGATCTTTTTGTGTGTTTATTAATGTGCACATTCTGTCACAATGGATGGTAAGAGTTAAACATTCTGCCAAAAGATAGGCCTACACGTAGAACCCTCCCTGCATGATGTCACTGTAAAGTATCAATCAGTCAAGAGAATTCCATGATGTTTTCTAAAATCCAAGAGCAAAAGGGCCACTGAATGAATATTACCGGATGTGTCACACAGTAACAGGCAACAACATTCATAGAGATGTTATTCCCAGTTTCTATGTGAATAAAATGCTATTATTATAGAATTGTACCTTGCAGACTCTTGGCGCTGGCGTAGTCCATGCTCCAGCTCACCAGGGCCATGGTGATTCCCAGGAGAACCAGGAAGATCCAGTCCTCTCCGAGCCGCGTCACCAGGAAGCGCTGCACCCGACAAACGCAGTCTGACAAAACCAAACACTGCAACTCACAGAGGGGAATAATATAGCCTCTATGTGTGTGCTCACTGTCTCCACCAGATTCACCGAATAAGCCCTAAAGATGTTTGAATTTACTCTTAACTACACGGTCAGTGTTGTGACAAGTTTCAGTTTAGGTTTCAGTATACATATGTTGAGAATGAAGTCATTGTTGGAGAGCAGACACACTCATTTCATATTTCTTTGCCATTCAATAAGTCAGCATTGCCAGGTTATCATAAATTAAATTGGTTTTCAATTATTTACCTGGTTTAAAAAAAAGTTACAAAAATAAAATTGTAAATAAATAACCTTAAAGTAAAGGGCTTTACTCTGTCCCGGTTTTATTGGCACAGAGACTTTCTGCAGAATCAGACAATATACTACCATGACATACAGTATATAGTACATTTTAACTACTCTAAACCATTATAACCCTAATACACATGTTGGTATGAGACAGACTTCACAATAAACCTGAATAAATAAAGATAATATACTATAATGTAATGTAATATAATATGATATGATATGATATAATAAATATAATAATATGATCCACAGTAAAACAAATAAATATTTCACTGCATTGACCTCTGGGAAAAATGTCATTAAACATTTAATACATTTGTGTAGGGATGCACCGGTCTGATACTGGTCTGATATCAGCGTGAATACTGAAAATATGAAATATGGGCCCAAATATGGGTTCGGTTCAATTGATGTAATATAATGCAATAAGACTACTTTACTTTTCCAGACAGTCTCATAACGTTTATTCATTTTATTTATACTGATCCAAATGTGTTATGTAGTTCTAAGGAAACAAATGCTGTTTTTAAATTTGTGCTAAGTCAAAATATCATCAGCACTCATCTGTCGTCCTTAGCATGATCAGTATGTTTGTTTCATTGTTGCTGCTAAAAAATGAACTTCCTTTGGGATCAGTAAAGCATTTACCTATCCATCTATCCATCTATTTATCTGTCTATCTATCTAGTATCTATCTAGTAAGTTCTAATGCTCCTAAAATAAAGTTTATGTGGTACAAAGGTGAAGTTGTAAAGAATGTGAACCTGGTGCATCTCGTCTCCAGCCTGACTCACCTGGACATTTGGAGAAAGCGCGTTGTTTCTTCACGGAGGAGGGCAACTCTGGATCGGGCTGCTCCTCTGCTGCGGGGCCCTCCATGTTGGACTGCCTGCGGCTCCTGTAGCGGCTGTAGCGGCTCTGGAACCCATTCTGCCCGATACTCCTACGGCCCATGGTGTGTTTACGCGCCAGACCCCGGCCGCCATGTTTCTTGATCTGCCGCTCTGTCAGCAGTCGGGTGGCTTCGCGTCGCCCTGAACCTCCCTGGTGCTCCTGGTACTCCCCATAGAGCTGTGGGAGGAAAAGAAAGAAGAAGATTCAAAAAACATTCACCAGTTATAACATTACTCAAGTGATAAACTATTTAATAACTTTAAATGGGTATGGTTCTGATGATTCTCAACATGCACTTAATTTGCTAGAATAATACCTGTTGTAAATATAAATTACAGTTTTACAACAACAGAAAAGCAATTTGCGAAGAAAAGTTGAAAAAATATGTTACAAATTACAGGAAGTAATTGACACACAAGAAATGCATTTTTTAAATACTTTTATCATTATTTCAACAAAATAAAGGTGTTTTCTTATATTTTTAATTTTTACTTTACTTAGGAGGTTTTGCTCACTGTACTGTATGGTTGCTAGGTAACAGCTGTGGAATTGAATAGCGGAATGTGATGATTTCCAACTAGGAAGTAACATTTTAAACCTAAAAAATTACCAAATTGGTAAACCTGTCATAGGCACTTTAAGATATAGTTTATGAAAGCAAATTTAAAGAGTTGCGGTGCCTGTGTAAGGCTGCCCTCCACTGCTCAGTGTGTATGAATGAATGAAATAGATGTCTGATCTCTTTCTGTTCATTCCACTGCCCTGTTCATGTTAAACTTTATTGATCCACAAGGAAAATTACTTGGACATATTTGTTCACACATCACACTATTATAACAAAGAGAAAAAATATATACTGGTAAAATAAATGGTGATTAAAAAAAATTGTAAGAGACAGGTGTCAAATAAGACATAGTTATATAATATTTTGGTAACATTTTATTTTCGGGTACACTTATTAACATCTACCTGTTAATTAGTATAGTTGTAGACAGTTAATTCATCATTAATTAGTATTTATTCAGTATTCTGCTAACGTACATGTGCATTCACACAGACAGTGGCTTCCTCTTTTCTGCTTCACTCAAGGAAAAACAAAACTAAAACACAACACTACCCACGCCAGTCCATCTTTCCCACCATCAGGGAATAATTTAGCTCCATAAAATTCTTCTTTATAAAAGAAAAATAGATATTTATTTAATGTTTAATTCCCCATAAGCTTATTCTGCTATTAGTTAGACATTTACAAACACTTTCATATTAATACACTCCTTATTTATTACTGCTTATTAGTATAACACTACGCCATTTTTGTCCATGAATTATGATTCTAATAAGCTTTTGGTAATAAGTGTGTTGTTAAGAACTAGTAACACAAGAAATGTATTTTTTTTTACTTATTTGAACTTAATAAATTTGGCTTACTCTTATGTCATAAAACACTCTCTATTAGGTGTTAATAGTCCAGCTCACCATGAATTAAGTAAGTTCAATTTATTAAGTGTAAATAAGTAAAACTACATTTCTTGTACAAGTAGTCCTTATTATCAAAAGCTTATTAGAATCATAATTCATGGACAAAAATGGTTTAGTATCAAATTAATAAGCAGTAATAAGGAGTATATTAATATGAAAGTGTTTGTAAATGTCTAATAGCAGAATAAATTTATATTATTCAATTCATTACAAATTAACCATCTACAACTATGTTAATTAGCAGGTAGTGAGATGTTAAGAAGTGTACCCTAAATAAAGTGTTACCAATATTTTTTTACTCATTACTGTCTTAATGCGTATTTAAAATTTTAACTCTGCATATCTGCTATGTTTGTATGACTGAAGTCTGTTGTAGCTGAAAAACTGATCTGATCTCCCACCTTTACTAATGAGCAAAGATATAAAATGTATATTTTTGCAACTAATGGAAGAAAAAAATTTAAGAATACAGTGTATATATAGTGCTATATTATCATGCTTTAAAATCAAACAGAGCTAGACTATGCAAACTCCATCTGGTCCAGGAAGTGAGCACATGAGCTACTTAGGGTTATCAGTTTGTCACTATATCATCAACAGAAGAGACAATAACAGTAGTATTTGTTTTGGTGGGTAAACAAGTATTTTCAGTTTCCCGGTTATGCAACAGTCCTATGCACACTCATTGATTGTGTGGAAGGACAGGTATTCTCTGTGTAGTGCAGAGGGCAGTTGTAGTACTCTGCTGCTGGCACACAAGTGTCTGTGTAAAAATAGACTGCACCACGTGTCGACCCAAACAGCTCAAATGAAACGGAAACGTGGACTCGGCTCCAGATTTATCACCTCAGGACTCACTCCACCGGACCAGCAGCTGCGGAAGACATTAATTCTGCCTCTGTCCAAGACCTCAATAGATGCAATAACTGGAAAGGCCGCTCTAGACAAAAGGGAATCATTACAAAAAATACAAAAGAGGTGAAGGTAAAAAAGGAAAACGTTCAGAAGTTCCAAGTAATCGTTTGCTCACTGGCGCATTGTTGAATTGCTAAAATTACTAAATAAAAACAGGGTGGTCCCCATAAAACTGACAAATTAAACTGGTAAAAATGAATTATATAGCCTATTTTTATTTCCTTATTATTATAAACATAAAGGCAAAAATCTAATGTTTGAAGGGGACAGATTGAAGATTAAATAAAGGCAAAGAAAGTAATTTTACTCAAGATATGGTACAAAATGAAATCATTAGTAAGGATCACCTGCGCCGCCATAGTCTTAGCGGAAATTGAATACGTCCGATTCAGTTTATTGCTTTGTGGGGCCCAGACAAACAACTGTTCAGACTGAAGGAGAGTTTAAAATGCATCCAACAAAATCATTTAACTGACTAACAAAATGATCAGAAGCAGACAAAAAGTTTTAATGCCATTGTCAATGTCAAAACCTTCTTCTATGGTATGGTACAAATGAATACTAATAGTAAATATATTAAAATAAAAGGCATAAAAATAAGGTGTTAAATAAAAATTGACTCTGACTGAATATAAAAACAAAATATACAGTATGGGCAGAACAACAGAGCGAGCTATCAGCGCAAGGAGAATAATTATAGTAGAAGAGAGTTATGTAAAATGACAGGTGTTCTGAAGTGTCCATGAGACTAAAGGCAGAGGGGAAGAAAGTGTTCTGGTGATGAGAGGTTCAGGTCTGAATGGACAGTAGCCCCCCCCGCTCGAGGGGAGTTAAAAGCTCTTTAACCAAAACATTTCTTACACTTTCTTATCTTATCTTAAAGTGAAAGGATGGCCTACACATTTCACTAAAACACTGTGAAGATCATTATATTTAAGAATTTACTAAAGAAAAAAGAATTGCCCAGTTTGGACATTTTTAAGGTGTCAGATTTTACTTCCTGGTTGGATAATCCTGACATCACGTTACGCAATTGCATAACTGTTACCTAGCAACCATATTGTACACTGGGCAAAAGCTACTCCAGTATACACAGAATTACACAGTTATTTGACAAATAAAATAAAAAAGAAAACATTACTTTTGTTGAAATCATGTGCGTCATGTGTGCATTTGAAAATTTTGTGTTGTGTGAGTAAACTGTGCTTAATTTTTGGATAGAATTCTCCCAGTGTGATGTCATTGATATAACTCTGTATTTCCTGTCATTTTCAACACATTTTTCAACTTTTCTTCACAAACTGCTTCTTAGTTGATGTAAAAATTTATAACAGGCTTTTTGACACTAAATTAAGTAGGAATAGATGCATCAAGAATCTCAGACTTCTGGTCATTGCACAATGCATACTGGGAAGGATTTTCCGAAAAAGTGAGCATCAAACCGCCATGTTTATTTTCCCAGTGGGATGCGTCTATTGACAAAGCCAGTCTTTTCTAGTCTTTTCTAGTAATTGTGTGGTTGTTGGATGTCCTAACACCGGAAAACGGAAATCAGATCTGTGTGACTGCAAACCTCTGTTCAAACTGTTTCCCTTCCCAACGGAATTGAAAAATAGTGAAAGGCGAAGGAGATGGGCAGGATTGATACACAGGAAGGACCAAAAAGGAAACCTTTCACTGCCTAAATCATCTCGAGTTTGCAGCGAACATTTTGTAGGTGGAGCGCCATCAAAACAAAACCCCGGTCCCTCACTCAACCTTGGTTACGAATTTAAAAAGTCAACGCCAAAGCAAAAGGCACCAGCTTTTCACCAAGAAACACCTTCCACTGCAAAGAGACCAAGATGTGATGTTACTGTAAAACCACAAGAACAAGAAAGTGCCAGCTCAGTCTGTTTGTCTTCTGTACCTCTTAACAAACAGAATCCCGCTTTGATGGCGCTCCACATACAAAACTTCACCGCAAACTCGGGATGAATTCTTAGGCAGCCAAAGGTTTCCTTTTTGGTCCTTCCTGTGTATCAATACTGCCCATCGCCTTCACCTTTCACTATTTTTCAATTCAGTAGGGAAAAGAAACAGTTTGAACAGAGGTTTGCACTCACACAGATCTGATTCCCTTTTGCATTTATGGAGTTCGCAAACAAATTTCTTGAGCCGTTTTCCGGTGTTAGGATCCAACAACCACACAATTATGATGTCCGAATCCCAAAACTAAAATATGACAATATCAGAACCAGAAACAAAAGTGATATGGTTCAAAAGACTTGAAAAGACTGGCTTTGGCAATAGATGCATCCCACTGGGAAAACACATGTGGCGGTTTGATGCTCACTTTTTCAGAAAATCCTTCCCAGTATGTATTGCGCAATGATCAGAAGTCCGAGATTCTTGATGCATCTAATAGTGAATCATGAAAACCTGTACGTATACACACTTTAAAGTACTGTACTAGTACATGCAGTGTGACTACAGCAGAGAGAGCCGTGCGAGTGTGGAGGAGTTGGTGAAATCCTGACACAGTTTAGTGAGGACAGTGGTCCCTGAGCAGCTGCAGATGTGCTCTTTCCAGGGACACGTTTAGACATGTGCTACAGACACAAGCCACCAAATGCCATGGACACTTCTTCTGCTGCTGCTTTGATTTGATCGGATAATTGCAGGTTGCATTTTTTGGGCTTGCTCTTGAGAGAAGATTTCACATCATAAAAAATATATGTATCATTGCTATCATAACATTTTTTAAAGCTAACAGAAAGGTATGTTCAATATGGTATTTAAAA